AATAGTAAAGGTTTTGTATCGTTTTAGCATTATCAATGCGATCTGGTGTAGCTGGCGATGTTATATCGTGTTCCTGGGGTTTATCTGTCGAAAACTGGGGTCAAGGTTAAATTTTATTACACGGTCTGTAAATAAATCTACCAACACACCATTTCTAGCATCCCGATTCTACAAGGGAATAATTTATACAGCCTCCCCATCATTTGGGCTGAAACGTACATTGTAGCAAGGACTGGTTAACCTATGTTCGTTATATAACGTGACCAGGTGGGGTTCTAGTCCCACCCTATAGTGTTCCGGGGGTCCCAGTCCGATCCTTCAGTGTTCTGATTGCAACATTTCATTGTGATGACACTATAGAACCACTCTTGACAGAGACTCATTCGTGGACATTGCTTTATGGAAATCCTCTAAAACGAAACCCCATATTGTAATCATCCAATGACAACAAAATGCATCACACGTGATTGTTTTCCGTGAGGTTAACTGGGAACCAATCACAGCTCCTAACGACTAACTTCCAACAGGATCGCATACCATCAAAATGAAGACGATACGAACGTCAGGCCTAAAATTATATCGTGTAATCGTACTTTAGAAGTAATCTTGTATTGAGGTTAGGGTTAGCTTTATCGCGGTACCTGTATGACGTTTATACGTGTACTGTAACCATGATGTAGCTGACGTCATCTGGACCCTGTCGTTCAAAGGCCATTTAGAGTTAACCAACGGTTAGTCAAAAGTTTGAAAGGCCAAATTAACTCTCTTATATATCAATCTGACTTGTCTAAACAAACCTAGAGCTGTGAACGATAAAGAATGCCACCAAATTTCGTCTACTTTAGATTTGAAAATTATCACTAATCACTGGTTCTCCTTAACCGGTCTTTGAACGGCCGAGGTCTATTGTTCGTGGTGATTAGGTATCAATGTGTGTTTTATCTCGGGAGAAAGTTTCTGACGTCATTAGTCGTGCTCGTGAACGGAAATACGAGTCCAAGGTGAATGTCACACCGTCGAGTAATGTTGTATTTTATAACAGTCTCGATCACCTGTGCCCTTCGTTCATATAAATACAACTTGCGCCGGACGCTGGCTTTCAATTGCTCAATGTTGCTTCTCTTGAGTATAAAGACATGGAAGTTATGTTATGATGAATAAAACAAATACTCTATGGGCCTGATCCATATGCACATGCCAGCCACTTGTGCACGAGTAATAATCGGTAATTATGGCAGGCTGCAGATCGACGTCCATGGTCGTGAATTTCTGTTGGGCTGTGAAGTGCTACAAGGAACGTTAAACAGATTGATTATATAGCTGTTAAGTTTGTTTGTATCTTCTGGTGCCGAGTGACGATAAACAGAGTGTTAACCTGGAAAAGCATCTCTCACAGTCCGATACACAAACCTAACGATCGATATATACAGACCAAATGCTGGTCAGTTTTGCCAAAGTAGTTATTGTGTACAATTTTACTCAAACCTACAGTGGACAAGATTCTAAGGAGAATATAATTAGCAGCACGAACTTAGAATTTTGGTCGAATGTCATCGCATATAAATTGTTACCTTTCCAAGAGTATCGAATATCGCTAACCGACCGACATCAACTCATTGTCATTAGACATGCTGTGGATTTTATAGGAATAACTCGGTTTTCTTCAAATTTAAGACTTCGCCTCTAAAATCCTTGCCGCCATGAGTTATCGATACGAAATAGTCACCAGAATTTGTCTTACTAATCGTTGTAAGACATTGCTCTAACTTTTTAATGAATCTAGCTGCCGAATGTTCCTCTACAATGTCTAACAACGTAGTCGAATTATCATCCAGCGTAACCATTAAATCATAGTCTTTCAGACAAAAAAAAGAAATTTCCCTCAGTGAAACCATCCAATAATTGCAGTAAACAATGCGATGTAACGTACTGTCAGCCATGAATGTCCCCAACTTTTAACCAGTTACTCTAGAGGATACGATTTTCTACTCAAGATACCAAAATTTCTTTCACTAGAGTAATTGCTTGAACCTCTCACATGAGGCAACCATTTATAATGATTTATCTTGTAGTAAAGACAGCTCCCAATCAGTAAAGGACACTTACAGGACCCTCACTAAGGACTTCAAGTCGGGAAAGGAGAAATGATTATTTGTACTTATCTAAGATCTTTAGTGCTGCAGGCACTGTTAGGCCTCCCGAAAGATCAATATAGAGTACACGACACTGGTGATGGATTGCAGTATATATCTATATACATAACAAACATAATCTGTGGGATTCATATGGAGAGCTAATACAACTATTGATGAATTATCCATAAATTCTGAAACTGACAAGTAAATTTACATCTGCCTGCAACTTTCATCTCGGTGTGTCATCAAAGATAGGATTTATTCGGAGAGACGGATTATCCACTATAACAACTCGGCTGTAGTGATATTGTAATTACGGTGTAAAATTTAAAAAAGACCATCGTATCGTCCATAAGCTTTGGAATTACATTATTTTAGGTGGAGATTTGGGACTACATCAGCATACCATTAATGATTTTGCTCAGGTTTGGTACGCAGGGTATGAACGAATTAATTTAGGTTTTCACAATCATCCTGGTATTCCTAGATTACCCCTATATCATATATCTAACCCCGTGCATAATGAAAGTTCATCATTTGACCAGCATAATACAAGAAATCTCCAAGTTAACTAGTAAACAAGAAATAGGTGATTTTTTCCACCGAGACATCCTCGTATGAATACATAGTCGAATATTAAACTGATAAAATGCTACAGTCAGCATAACTGCTCGTCGTTTGAGCCGTCGACACAGAGGTTACTGAATCAAAGACATAGAAATTAAAACTTTAGTCACAGTCACAAACACCATGAACAAATTGAAAAAAGTGGAAGATTATTAATTTACTATTCATCACTTACTCAGATGATAATTATGGCATTTAGATGCTGGAGATAAGAATGGTTATCAGTACTGATACGTTAGTACGAATAACCGATGTAAGCAAGCTTATATATATTCTCTGTGATCTCTGGAAGATTATCTGACGCTATATTGACGTGTTGAAGATTTTCACTCGCAGGTGGCTGCGAAAAAATGGCTTCTGCTTGAGACTATCTATTATACACTCAAATAAACCAAACGAACAAATATGGCGACGATGAAGACCTGATGTTTGTGTACTCCGTGTAGGAACTAAAATAACTTCCAGTCGGCCAATGGGTGTTCCGGTACAAGAGGATATGAATGGGAAATCTTGTAGTTTGTTTCTACCTTTCCATCAGCTGTAATTATGCTACACGATTTTAGATAGAAAGGGCTCCCTGTGTGATAGAAAGGGCTCCCTTTGTCTGCATACGATATATGATACCGATTTTCGTCATCAGCTTGAATGTATTCAATTGAACTTAGCTTCATAAATAATACAAACAATATTAAACCAGCCCCACTGGCATCGAAAATCAACAGCGTAGTGAAGCTATATGATTGGTGATTGGTAATGTTGATACGTCCATTCTGAACTGAGATTCCTGGGATGGAACCACTCACCTGAATGAATAGCTTTTACATATGTTGTCCATTAATTACGATATAGTGAGTCTACCTATCTGTACGATGTAGATAAGTAGTGCCTGGACTGATATAATATCTACATATATTGTACAGAGGTATACCAAATGAACGGCGGTCCTCTACCAGCATCACCAAACTGCCGTTGGCCATAAAACATGGAGGCGGACAAACTAAGCTGTTATTGTCACAAAGACAATCGATATGATTTGAGGAGGATTGCTTTTAACGGAAGCAAAATGGAGTGGTTATTGATCATGTTGTGTAATTAGGTTCATTTGTAAAGCCTGAAGATGTTTGGAGGAAGAAAGACTGAAGGAGTCACAATCATCATACGCCTGGTTCTCAATACCTAAGTTATCACGAGATATAACGATTTGTGTCGTTCAATACAAACCGACATCACCCTTTTAAAGACGAAATGACCAGAACCCTCATATTATTCAATACTTTAAAGGCTATGGTATTGCAGGTTTGTAGCGACGTGTGTGACAAGTGTACGCGTGTAATTGCGCGTGTCGCTACGCATGGCTGATGCTTTGTCCTTGCTGACCATCTTATTGTGACACATTTCATAATCATGTCATGTGTCTGTACTGGGCATGACTGATATATAACATGTAATCCTCGTGAAAGCACAACCACTGATCACGTGACATTATACCGTGGGGATACTACAACCTGATTACCGTACAGAACAACTCCTACATGTATACATACCATGTACTATCTATCATTTAGTGACAAAATATATAATGTGACACATAGACAGAGCTATGGACAGAATACTACGGGTAGACCTTCATCATACACGTTATTATACACATATTTGTGTAAAGGATAGATTAATAACCTAGGCGTGTATCCACACTAATCCTAAGGAAACGAAATACATGGATATAATACAGACCGACTGGATAAACGACTTTTGGAAACAACACTTATTGTAGGGAGAGTTAACCAGTATACATAAACACGTGATAGTGACTAATGAGTAAATAAACTCCACTAAGTGACAGACGTAGGGTAGATATAAATAACCACGTGATACAGACTGGTGTGTAGATATACATAACCACGTGATACAGACTGATGGGTAGATATAAATAACCACGTGATACAGACTGATGTGTAGATATATATAACCACGTGATACAGACTGATGGGTAGATATACATATACACGTGATACAGACTGAGGGATAGATATACATAACCATGTGATACAGACTAAGGGGTAGATAAACATATCCACGTGATACAAACTGGTGGGTAGATATACATAACACATGATCCATACTGAGGGGTAGATAAACATAACCACGTGATACAGTTAGAGGGGTAGAAATGCATAACTACGTTGTGAAGTCTTTAAGTAGATATATATATAAATGTGATGTCAACAGTTTACTTACAATCAAATGCCCATTCCGAATGTTCACTGGTGTCCACAGCTAAAACTACAATGTTTTTCCCGTCACAGCCATCCATAGCCGAGTCTGCCATTTTCTGTAGAAGTCAGGGATGTCGTCCCAAATTGTTGGGTAGTTCGGCTAGGTCCTTTGTTTTGTATTGGGTTCCTGAGGGTATTCTGCTGATATCGATAAGTTCCGAGCTGTACAGTGATGTTCCTGATGTTCAAGCTTGACTTGGAGATCAGTGAAAAAACAATGAACAGAAAGGCACTACACGTAAGTGTCCGACTTAGGGTGAAACAGTGAAATTCGTCACAGTGTAGGTTACTTAGTCACAGGTTGGGAGACCACACAGCTTGGAGAGGTTGGGTTATAATCCTGCTCGGAATACAACACAGTGCTATATACATATACCTGCAGTCAAGTATCAATATGCCTCTCCTAGCCTCTGTATCAGCCGCTCTTCCTCATCCCGAACAGCTCGCACGGATCACACAGTACACGTCTTGCTGTCAACTGTATCAGTCATCGGGCCAAAGCTTGTTTAAGCTTAGTTAAAGTACAACAGTACAATACGGGCATTGTTATATATATAAGTAATACTGGCTACATTAGTCTTTCGTGATCAAAGATCTGTTAATAGGTACCTGTACACATAACACCACTTACATACATACCAAGTATATTAATGATACTCGGCTCAATTGTTTTGTTCTAAAAGTAAAAGGAAATATTTTCGTTTTCTGTTTATTTACACTGCAAAAACCCTGTTTTCTTGTTCTGTGTTAATTATTTTTGCTGAATTTTTTTTAAAATTAAAATATCGTGACTAGTTTTTATATTTTTCAATTAGAGGAAACCCTAAAAAGGCAATTTTATTACATGTAATCAAAAGTTGCGTTTAATTTTGTTCTCTCATATTGTGGCGGTAGTAGGTTATCATAAAATAACGATTCTTTCCTTGTTTGATATGGTCATGTAGGACAGACTATCTGGTTGTAATGATATTAAAAATGGTATTGAGAGACATGGGCTTAAAACGACACACATTTGTATTAACGGAAGCGATGTAAATTTGTCAGAGATGTAAACAAATGACTATTATAACTAAAGTTGTTCAAACTTCATGCTCTACAAATCTGCTCTTTATACAAAAAGGATAGCTCAGATAAGATATGTGCGACGGACGCGACAGATTCGACGACAGGATGGCCTTGAGACAGACTCACAAGATGGATTATGGTGAGCGAGGTCACTTCACTTCCTAACACCTAGTCTATCGTACCAATTTTTAGATCAACTGGGATTTAGTTGACATTTTTCTCGTATAAAAAAGTAAATCAACATATAGAAATATTACATGACACGACGAAGAAGTTAACGGCGAGCACCACTTAGTAACGAGTTACAAGGGATGTGCGAACGTTCGTACAGGAATATACTCCCATTTTGCCAAATATTCTAATAGTGCTTCCTGTGCAAGGTGTTTTCAGTAAAAATATAACCTGCGTTTAAAAAATTACCAGATATAAAAATACCAGTCCACGATGCGCATGTCAAGACATCAAACGATCAACACGGCTGTATAGAGCATTTATATACTTATGTATAGGTGTACATTAAAACACTCTCAACGACTAATATATAATGTTCAAAGCAATAAAAGGTTTAGACATTAAATATCGTATTCAAATATTACATATGAAATCCTTTTGTATGGTGATAGTTCTTTAGATATAAAATCGAATAAAGCTATTTGTGAGCATGTTTAGGACTTTAATGCTAGTACCTAGTTGTTGTCTCCTAAACATTTCGTTTTTTTTTATCTCGGACTCCCTTTTATGTTTCTTCCTCTGTCCCTAAAATTTCTAAAACCTTGTAAAATATATCATGTACTGGCCATTTTAAGGTCATCGCTATTCTGTATATTTATGCGTGTATTACAGCGAGGATATTGAAACTTACGTCCGATCTATTTATATATTATTATGCAATAAAACTTGTATAAATCTAAATAATAGCAAAGTGTAAACCAAATAATACATGATTCGAAAGGTAATGTTTATCATAAAACAAAGGTGAACTATAAAAAGAATATAATATACTTATTTCGTTATCTACATTGCAATCTTAAGTAATTGCACTTCTTCAATTTCTTTTGCTAATTCTGGAATGCATCATCACAGTAGTACCAGTCATCACCGGGGTCGATTTCTTGATTAGTTTATAAAATGTACTTCTGCTTTTTCAGTGATTTGTAATGACGGCTTGACGCAATACAATTTCAAATAGAAACATGACTTCGTGAGGGATAATGTATAGGTCTTAGTTCTAGGACAGACAGGCTGAATTCATTTGAGAATGACTGTGAATCATTTTTTTCTTATCTTATGCCAGTCACTCTCGTTGGTTCGGACAGTCACATTTTGCGGAAAAACCGGAAAACCAGGGGAAATAAAAAAAATTCCGCGGTGCGGGAATTGAACGTGTTCCCCCGTTTTGACGTACTGCTTATTTATAATAAAATCATTACAAATAGTTACAGTTAATCATAGATAAACAACATCTTAATATCTAAAGTGTGTTAAATAGATACTTATTTACTGATCTAGATTATAATCGGCGCACAATAATTAGTCTATAAATGTACCGCTTCTCCTCCTCCTCCTCCTCCTTCTCCTCCTCCTTCTTCACCTTCTGTTTCTTCTATTTATGAATTGTTCCTTAGTTGTTTGTTGTTTTAGTGGGTGTTTTTGTTTTATTTCGTCTCAATGAAAAAGCTTATAAATCACATAGATTGAAATACCAAATAAATCGCCTATTTCCTCCTTTTGGAGAAGTCAAGAAATATATTTTGCTGAATTTTGAAAGCTTGTTTTAGTCATATCTGTCTTTTGTGATTTAGTCCTGAAAGTGGTCATCAATACATTGTGTCTTTGATACTGTTTACTTATCCAAACATATTTTATTGATAAATAGTTCTTATAACGTATTAGGACCTCTCCCAACATCATAATACACAATGATTAAACACATCACGTGATACCAACATTTAAAGGTCAAGTGAGGTTACATTAGAATCGTCAATGCTAGAAATCGTAGAAAAATGGTCGGTAAGTACTTCAGCTTTCCCTTGATCACTGTAATCTACTTTCAGAACACCAGAATCGACATAATTAAGAGGAGAAGTATTGTGTTGTGGAGTTGATATAAATTTATTATGTATTTTCCAGAAAAATCGAGGGTTAGATTTCCTAGAAATCCCTAGATCTATCAACGTTTGACACAAGATTAGTGTAAAAGTGCAACTTTGCTTGTTTTTTTCAGATTGTTCACTTTTGAGTTTTTGCTATATTTTTTAACTGGTAATGATTTCTTTATAAAGAGCATTTTTCTCAATCCTTCACGAATTTGTCAATGCTTATGTAATGTTGTGTTAAACAACGGTTTCTCTGTTGGACGTATAGTCACTTCATAATTTTAACACAAACAAGTACTCAATCCGGAAATTGTAAAGTTTTCCGTAGCATAAACAATGGACAAGGTAAACAAAATGATTTCACGCCAATTAACATTGTTTATCGAATTATTAAAAAGATCAAAATCTGCTCTCCCGTAATTCCAAATGTGTCTTATACACGTTTGCAATTCTATAAGAATGACATACACAAATCTGTTGTCTGATGATCACTTATCGTATTATTTATCCCAAACACACCACTGTCGAGACATTTAATGTTGTAGGAAATACAAATAGGATCCAGTAGTGAGGCTGAGGTAGGTGTAACACGGGTAGGGTCTAAAATAATGTTACGAAGGTCATGATTTAAAACTAGAGTTTCAAAATGCTAATTAGGACGATTGAGGTCAATATTAAAACCACCAAGAACAATTATTTCTGAACTTAAATCACATACAGATTCAAAAGGCCATTCTATATTTCGATAAAAGTCATTATTAAAATTGGGCGATCGATAGAATAGCAAACCTTATACATTTATAATGATACTGTACATCAGCCCAGATACCGGTTCAGGTTATCTTACTGCTTGTCATGTGTCAGAGAAGTATACAAGGACCCCGCCTCCATGGGCATTTCTATCATTACGGAAAATTACAAAATTCAAACTAGTACGTCTAAGTGTATATCCTGTGAAACACTAAGTATAAGAATTGGTAGTAATACTATCAAGTTTACATAATTTGTCCCTGTTACTCTTTAAATATTTAAATATTTAAATGAAGAATGATTAAATCAAAGTAGTTGTGACCAGGGTTCATCTCAGTATCACCACTAAGAAGTAGAACTACCAAAAGAAAAGGAAAGTTGATACTATAAAAGTAGAAGTGACATAACAATTCAACCAGCGTCCTCACTACAGTTGTACTGTAGGTAGTACACGTAATTTGGTATTCTGAAACATAAGTAACAACAGTAAGAATACTGATGTAGAGGAAAAGTACTACTTCGGAACAGAACAGCCCGATCGACGCCCTATACATTTTAATAGAATCACATATAATCAGTTTTAAGACAGACAAAACTAATTTGTACATTGCGTCGATAGGTTGGCAACCAGAACGGAAAAAAAGTAGGTAGAAGAGAGGGTTTCAAAGCAAGGCTGTGAGAAATAGAAGCAGAGAGTAATTAAAAGATGTCTTTTATAAACACTAATGATGTTTTAATAGCTGTAGATATATGACCGTGGTGAGGTTGGGATAGTTCTATTTAATGTATGTGTGAAATTGTTTCACGAAAAATACGTGATTATTATGTAAGCTGCAGAGTATAGTCTTACAGACACGCACACGGGCACATCCGGACATACCTAGATACAGAAAGCAGCCGTAATAAAATTGTTCCTCGTATATCATAATTAACAACTGTATGAAATAGCATAGTTATAAATTTAACTTGATTATTGATATAAAATTGAACACTGTCGCAGTTTTTTTTAAATATAACTAAAACTTAATTCATTGTGCATTAATATTACATTAAAATCGATGTGGCTCTCAGTCAGATTTCACGAAGCAACGTGTCTAGTGTTTCTTCGGGAATTAATTACGTTTTCGTGTCTTGGAGTAGATTGAGGCGATTTTCAGAATAGAATAACCACAGAATTTGTAAATTGAAGTCAATCCTGTCAGTAACAGACAACATTTTGTTTGTAATGGATTCTACATTTATAATCTGGACTGTCAGATCGACGTCTACTGTAGCAGATTAAGTTGCCAAACTTGATGATCTAGAATGTTGTGGCGATAATAATGATTTTGTGTCAAAATTGCATTTTTGACTTGACTCTAGGCATTAGACGAACACATAGTTAATGTGTTATTGTGTTATTGAAAGGTGATTTATGTATAATCGCTTATCGCGGAGCAAAATATTATGTAAGCACGTGTAGGTGTGTGCAGAGTA